TCACTCACAATAAACTATTTAAAAAGACTCAGAGAAGACAGATTCTTTACTCATGCTGAGGAGCCCTTTTACCCAAGTGGTCATAACGATTTTAGTCGGTAAGATAACATTCGAACCATAGAATCAGGGTCAATAACACTAACGCCTCAACCCACACTCCAAATTATATCTTGCATACTTGATCAGGGAAAAACTTATGGACTGTGCTTCTAGACCAGTTGAACAGCTCTTCAAATCCAGCAGACACCACTTCAACTGGCAGGGAATTAATATAATTCTTTATCTTTCCCAGTAACATTGAGAAAATACATATATAAATTGTTTTCTATATTTTTCCTGCCTTCTTCCTGTGTTCTGAATCCAAGTAGAAAGTGCTACCACTGCTCTAATATATTTTTCACATTAAAAAAATATAATTTTGGGTGAGGGCATTCTGTTGCAGGATAGGAAGAGGACTAATAATAGAACTGCATTTTTGTTTTAGATCTTTAATATAACACAAGCATTGTCTGTAAGAATAGCCAGTGTTACCGAATTAAACCTAATTTCCTGGCAGTACTGACTACACAGGCTGCTCAAGTTGACCAGAAATGCCTTCTAACACTGAAGGGAGCACTGAAAGGCTGATAGGGGCTTCATCTCCTTTTCTTTTATACCTATGTTTGGATAACAGTAACTATCAAATTAGTGCATCAAATTTCAGCCATTCCTGAAACTCTGAAGTTACTTTGCCCGGTTTCTGCAACACTGCAACAATGCATTTATGAAGGATATTCACACCAGAACATCTAAGGCAGCCTCGCTAATACCTTTGAGCTTGTGAACAAACTGCCAAGGTTATGGAATTACTTGTTCTACCACTGACTTTTCTTTGACATTTTGAGATACAAAGAGAGCATCAGAAGGACCAAACTCACTGAGGGCATCTGGGAGTTGATATCTGGAGGAGGAGCACTTACCTTCCAGTGGATCTTTATTTAAGCCCAGCTGGCTAATAATATATCGAGGAATGTCTGTTTTAATACCTTGTCCCTCTTTAGCATGGCCTTCAGCTGCTTCCAGAAGATAGTAAAACTCCTCAGGATCAAATTCCTAGAAGGAAAACAATCAATCCCCATCAATCTCCCTGCGGAAGCTGAAACCCTAAAACCCAATATAAAACTTTTTTTGCTACTTCTATGGCAAAGATTTAAGGTATACTTTTTAATATGTATACACAAATTCCCCCCCCCCCCCAAAAAAAAAACACATTATTCTCTTACTAGTAACTTAGTATTCTTTTTACAATTGCTATACAATGTAACACGCTGTAAGCAATGAAATTTCAAATTGTTATTACAGAGCACTATTTTAAAGGTGTGGGAAGTTCTCCGTCCTCAAAATTTGCCATATTTAAAATGAAATGATCTATAACCAGCAATGCAACATTCAAAGATAAAATGCCACCTACAAAATGCTTCTTACTGCTGCCATTTGCATATAAAAATCTACTATAAACTGTGTAAATATATTGCTCTCTGCTTTTACTTTTAAAAAAGGTTTTGAGATTTTTTAAATCAATATATATGTACTTTGCTTTATAAAAAATACAATTAAATAAACTGTTAGTTTTAGAACCAAGCAGAAACAAAAAGTTGCTGAAAACAGTATTTGAATTTCATTGATCCAGCAGTTTTCAATTATGAAACAAAATATTCTCCTTCAAGGACCAAATATATTGTTATAATCAATTATACTTTGCCTAAAAGGTAAGCCTTAAACAGTCTCTCCCAAAGAGCGGAAAAAGAAACAAACAAAAAAGCTAAAATCTTGCCTCTCTCAAATACCTTGCAGTTTATTTTACTACCTTAATATATGATAAAAATGGAAACAGTTGAAATAAAATAGGAAAAGAGCATTTTTCATTTATTTTTTAAATAAACTCTCACTAGTATCCTATCTTCTTGTATTAATTCATAATTAAACATATAAAATAAAAACTCTCACATAGCCCTTACACTCTTAAAGACGTTCTTGCCTACCATAAACCAGGACAGGCCCATGCTTATAGAGCAAGAGTCAGAAGCGATTTCTCCAGGGCAGGCGGTTTAGGTCATGAAGCACTGGGGCTTTTTGCTGTTCCAGGCTGCCTGCCGCCAAGCCAGCTCTGCCCAACCTCCTGCAGGCGCCCGGGGGACCCTGCGCGGGCTGCATGCCAGGACTGCCCAGGGCCTGGGCCGGCCTGCCGGGCTGCACGGGGCTCCCGGCCGGAAACCCCTCCAGCCCTTGGGAAACGCAACAGCCCACCGCTAAAGGCGGCCTGGGAAACGAGGGATCATGTTTCAGTCTGGAAGCATCCAAACTACCAGGAGGAGACAATTAACCAAACTGAAGCGTCTTGGAATTTTCAGTCTTGTGAAACAATCTGGTTTTGTTTGTTATTTCATTTTCTATGAAACAATCTTCATCTCCAGCCCTATTCCAACAGATTTTCATAAATGCATAAAATGCCCGAACTCTCTTTATTAGCTTAAAGTCTCAAGAAGTTGCTGAGCTGCCTGGAAACATGAACAGAGCACTAAACATTAAACGTCCATGGCTTTACTTGCCTTATCTAACATGTTGTTGCATTCCCCACCCGAACCGCTTACGTGTACACCTCAGCACCGAAGAACTCTGCAATGATGTTTGCCAAGAGTTCCCTTCTACCCTCATCAAGATTTTCCTTCTCCTTACCCGCGTCAGTGGCTGAAATATTTACAAAGCTTCTCCTCCACTTGCTAGTTAAGTCAGACTAATTACAAAACAGATGCTCTCATCACATGAAAATACACACACACACACATTTAGAAGCAGAACATTTATCTCCTCCTCTCTATTTTTACTTCTGCATTTCGTTCTCATGTACGCTCAGGGTTTCAAATGGAAAAAAAGTCTTTCTAGATTTGTCAGTATTGAGCACAAACCAAACAAGCGAAAGTTTTACTCATGTGCTTAACAAACGAACACAAATAGGTGCTCGCATACCACGCACGTGTGAGCTAAGCACTAAGTAAACTGACAGCGCTACCTTAAGGTGTTTTAAAGTTCTTGTGATAAAACCACTGAATTTATTTCTTACAGTGTAACAAACTTGCTTACAGAGGCTGAAGTTTTCCTTACCTAGTATTTATTTCAGACAAACTTTCAAAAGTATCTGTCAATATGATTAAAAAGTTTCCAGAGGGATACTATGAAAAACCAACAAAGTTGCTTTTTTTCCAAGATTAAAACTACTACAGTGACATTTATGGGGTAACATTTAGCACTTCCTTTTATTAGAAAGATGGGGATTTTGACAGTCTGCCTAAATTGTTTCAAGTTACCCTCCTAAAGAAACATACTCGGAAGAGACTTGTTAAATTCCAGCTAAAATCTCCTAAAGATCTCATCCAAAATAATAATACTCTGAGGGAGGGAGCTGTGCTGGCTTTCTCTGCAGCTGCTCTCTGCGAAGCTGAACAGCTGGATGCAGTAGGCACCAGACATAGGGAGGGAGCCCAGGTCCCGGCCTCTAAGCATGCTAAGGTGAGGGAAGCAGGGTAGGATCAAATCCCAGCAGAAACAGGGAATTAAGGGCACGGACATTGGGACTAGCCAGCTATAAAACTTAGCATTTTGAGGGAATGAACTATGGAGAGGAAGGTCCCTAGGAGAGAACCTGAATTAAATGGCTAAAAGACAATGAAGAAATCGGGGACAGGACTCGGAACAAGTGAGCACTGGAGACACAGACAATGTGTCACAGAGAGCATAGGTTTCTGAGCCACAGGGCAGGTAACACTTTGAGGGTATTTCCACATATGTGACGATAGGGAAAGGCATGGACAAGAAGGAAGACGAGACAGATCTTATGAGAAATTGGGGAAAAGGCTAAAGAAAAATTCTGTGACCTGTGAGAACAATAAGTTTGAGGGAACAGGGCAAAGGCACAATGCTTGTGGCTCGGATTCAACAGCAAAAGCAGTACATGCTAAAGTCTCTTTGCCTCATCTCCTCAAGGACCTGAAACTCTTTTTTTTTGTTTTCTCCCAATCACTTGCCTGCTGATTAAGAGCACACACTTTATTTTAGCTTTCTTCTGAACTTTAAGTTATGAACAAATTGCAACTGGGAATACTGAGACATGATGTTTCCAAAACAAACCAGAGTCAGTTCTCACCCACAGCTGAGCTATCTAGGTCATGGATTAACTGTGCCACAGTTGAGGAGCCACAGCACAAAGCCAGACTGGGCTGGAAAGACTGACCAGCTCTGAGGCAGCGCCATGCCAACGCACTTAGGCTGCTTCCAGGCATCGGCCGAGCCCAGCAGCAGGTTAGCAGCTCACACGAGCAGAGCCAGCTCAAACAGCTATGTGCAGCGTCGACACCGCCAGCCTGGCACCGCCAAGGTGCGGCGTCGACCCCGCCAGCCTGGCACCGCCAAGCGCGCTGCCTCGACTGAGGCAGCTCAGGCCTTGCGCCAGGCCCCTTGGACTCACACTGGTACTTACATGGTATTTGGGTGTCTAAACACTCTCCCAAGCACACTGTGTTCTGTGTGGACTTATTAGTTCCGCTGAGCTACTCCAGCACACTGGCTCGGTGCGTGAGCAGCTTCCCACACGTCAGCCAGGCAGATAGCACAGCACAGGGAGGCCAGGCACCAACACTCCCGTGTGATCTCACAGGACTTGCCCAGCCTGGAGACCTCAGAGCTATGCTCACACCTAAGTTAACCCTCCTTTATCATATAGCCCCCAGTGTAACTCAGAGCAGCTGTACAACCATGTAGTCTAACTCTCCTGCCCAGCTTTGCTGACAGTCAGGTGTTACAGAGCTCACTGCGAGTTGCTTGTAGCCCAGACAGCAGCTGCTGAGTGAAACAGAACTCAAACTGGTACAAGCAATAATGACAAGGGAAAAAACACCAAGTAAATACAATTCTGAATGCAGTCCACAACACAACCAACAGAAAAAAACAACTGGACTTTGGTGTATAAGCTATTAGATTTGCAATAGAAAGAACTAAACACAGCCGCAGAAGGACCCTGACAGTCTCTGGTTTCTGAGTAAAAACCAAAAAATTCCAACAGTGAAACTCTGTCCTGTGGTGTTTGGACACTTAAAAAACAAAAACAGAACAAACAAACAAAACGGTATAAATGGCCTTCAATGCTAACCAATGAAAGCAAGTAAGAAACCTTAGTAGAGCAAAGTAAGGATCACCTTACCAGACACTCCAACAAGCGAGCAGGACGAGCAATAACTATTAGGATCTTTCGAACTAGTTGCTTGATAAATGCCAGTTCTCCACTCTCTGATCGCTCTTGAGCCTAAAAGATGAAAAGAAAGGGATAGTTATTCACTACTCAGAAAAGTAGGATTGTGGGAAATTTGGGACACCTTTTGCAGGTTTTGAAGCATGCACTTCAAACAGTAATTCATTTTCAAAATGCCTACTGAAATAACAAGAATTTGAAATGATAATGTTGCTGCTTTGCTCAAACTGAAGTAATTCCCCGTGTATAATTCTAACAGTTAAATAACAAAGGTTACTGCAATTTCATATGGAAAATTCCATTTGCAATGGAATTTCCAAGTCTTAACTTAGTATTAACAATCTGGGACAAGAAGCACTGTAATTTGAATATGCCCTCCTGCACATACATAGAACATGTCTAGGGCTCTGCAATAGGTATTAAGAGAACCTTAATCAGACACAAGTATATTTATTCCACACGCTATATCCAAAGAGAACTCTCTTGTATACAAAATACCTTTCCATTTTAATCATGAGCAAAATTTAAAGCAACTTCGAATGGTTTTGTAGACACTTTGGTGCGTATATGAAAAGAAGACAGAAAACATGCTAAAGAGGTGTGAAGCAATAAAGCTTTCAGATTCCCCTAACCTTGGAATTAAAAAAAAAAAAAAGATGTCAGCTGAACAAAACTGCTCAGGCCTCAGGGGAGTCTCTCCCCGGTTATGTAAAGCAGTCACAGCATGTCAAGTAGCAGCGGGAGATGCAGCTTTCTGCTGAATATCACAGCCAGGAACTGATAACAAATCAATCATGAGAATCCGAGACAGCCCAGTTCCCATAACCGAGTTATTCAAAGAACAAGTTCTCTTATGGTCATGTTAAGCTACTGACTGATACTCAAAATCTACTTTGAATAATTTAAGAAATTTAATTGTTACAAAGCACGAAACTTGTATATCATACAAAGACTGCATAACATAATATGACAGGAATGATGTGCTTTGATTGATGTTTTACTGTTTTACTGTTTTTGATGGATGTTTTACTGTTTTTCCAAGCTGTTTTACATACAGCTTGGAAAATAACTCACTAGACATTTTTTTTAACTCATTGAGCCAACTTACACTCTAAGCTCTGCTTACTGCACAGCCATTTTAAACACATATAATACACTTTTGCTAACACTACCCAGTGAATCTTAACTTTCAAAACATGTTTCTTTACATTATGACACTGACACTAGTGCAACATAATTCGTAGTCAGGTATCTCCTGTGTGTATCTTGGCCAACTGTCTGCACTTTGGCATCATAAAAATGAGTATTTCACAAAAGGGTCACTAGTTCCAATTTCTTTTTGATTAGGTAGAAGTGCCATGAATTTTTCTCAGTTGAAAAACAAGAGTTTCAATAATCCAGAAATACTTCATTGATGTGTCAATTTTGGAACTGCTTTATGAAGGGGAAAAGTTCAAAATTCAGAATTTGTAGCTATTTGCTAAATAGAAGTTAACAAAAAAGGAGAAGACAGAAAGAATCAAACAAAACCTTTAGAAATTGTCCCTGCATTTCAAAGAAAGCAGAAGAAAAGACTTAAATTAAGATAGGCAGGAGAGTTTAACAACTCACTTGGCAAATTTCAAGTCAATATCAAATCTGCTGCTCTGTCACAAACTATGGGTCATGCTGCACTGTCAATCACTGTGTGCATATCTCACACAAACAAGAGTAGAGCATCTAACATAATCCTTGTTTTAAAAGATTTATTATGTATTTTAAGTTACAGTGATTTATGCCACAGTACATTCCCTTAGTTAAGTTCCAAGTTTTCCTTATCCATTCAGCTGACTAATTTAAGGAATTTTTTTAGATACTTATAAGATTTTCTTTGGTAATAAGCTAATTAATTATGAAAGAAATAGTAAGAATATTTTAAAGAATTAAATAGCCTTCAGCTAATGGAAAGCTAAGGGTTGCTATGTGGTACCTCAACACAGCAGACGCGGAAAGAGTATGTGTTTCCTAATTTATCCATAGCAAATAGAATTGCGAGTCTTCTCATTTAAGGTTTAGGCACATACTTCCCTAAGTAATTTATAATTTGCAATGCATAACACAATGCTACTGTTCCTGAAATCTTTATAACCCATTTATCCTAGAGTAGTTCACTAGGAGGCATTATAGTGCTTGCAGTAGTCATCATACAGACTAAAATGGCTATAAATACCACCCGGACAACTATTTGAGTGCAACAGTCATGATTATTTCAAGGCAACAACTTTTAGGCAAATAGATGTAAACATTTTTTTTTCAATCAAAGATAAGACTAATCCAATGTCTCATACCTCCTGGAGTAATTTGTCTAATTTCTGCTGTAATTCAAAGAAGTATCGTGACGTGATGAGGCCCTGGTGGGATTTATCCAAGCAGTCGCGAGCGAGTTCTATGATCTGATGGTGAGTAAAACTGAGCACCCCATCTGCCAGGGGAAGGACGTTTTCTGGAGAATGGTTTGTTATGATGTCCTGAAGCCGTTCTTCCATCTGAGCTGTGGCCTACATACAAGTACATACATGATACAAAAAAGAATCAGCCTTTCCCGGAGTTGTAACATCCAAGCATACTTCTCATTTTATCGTATTTTTGAATGACCTAAGAAGATATTTTGGCACACTACATGAAATGGCAAAAGCAAAAATAATAAAAAAAAGGAAGTAGATGGTATTTTCCCACATTACCGGTGCAGCAAACAACAGCTAAACATATCTTCCCTGATGTCTGCCACTTGAGATACACTGCACTACGATATTGTGATGATCATAAAGCAGAGCTAGCATAATACCCGTGACAGGAGACCCCTAATTTCAAGTCAAAATAATAAAAAGGAGAACTTAGAGAGATCTCCTCTGTTTTGCTAAAACTGTAGGTATTACAAATCAGAGCATCTTCCTTCCTTTAAAATAGGTTTTAACCATGAAACTACTTCCCTGAGAAGGGTGTGAAAGAATATTAACCAATAAATAGTAGATTCAGATCCTGCAATACATGCACACAGGTTACTAAGAGTGCCTGCTTTTCGAATCAAACGTCTATTTCTCAGAGAATTGCAGATACTTAATGAAGACATTTCAATGTTTTTCTTATTAAATAGTAACCTAACACCTCTTAGTTCGTATCTCACCCATTGAAACAAGTTGGTCATTTTACACTTCAGATTATTGCTCAGCCACCCTGCAAATCCACACAAACATCTCTTCATATTTCAAGTCTCCTATTTTGTAGGTACTTTTTGAACTGTATCAGCTTTATTTTTTATTATTTATTAGGAAACATCAAACTCCAAGGAGCAAGAGAGAAGTGCTCCTGGCAACACGCCTACACCTTAAAATTCATCCGTGCATCAGACCTCTAGACTTGACAGCAACCTTTTCTTACTTGGTATCTTGTAGTGAAACCTTCATCAGGTACATAACCCTGTACTGATCTTCACTATTAAAATAAGTAAATAGAGAATATTAAGGAAATAGAAGAAAGACCACTGAAGAAGGGAATTTGAACGTTTCTCAGTTAATGCTGAACAATACCAAGCAAGAGAAATGTGCTCTACTCTAATCTAATGTATACTTACTGCAACTATACACCATCTATTGAAATCAAATGCATCACAGCTTTCCAAACATCAGAATATATTACCAGTGTGGATTCATTTCAAAACCAGTTCAGCTGCTTTGGCAACAGAATGTCCAGTTCTCAGCAGGGTTTTTCTTCATTGTGACAATAAGACCTTGGCGATGCTTTATGAAAGCCATTACAGGCTTGGATCATTAGTTCCCATAACAAAAACACCAGTTACTTAAAGCCTATATTGCCTACTAGTTTAGATACAGGGTATCTTAAATATAATTCATTACCTTTGGGAACCTTTCTTTGTAGACATGGTTCATCATTATTATTTCATTGTCACAGCAGGCAGGAGAACGTCCAGGGCTGCAAGCAAAGCAAATTATCCCTTTTTAACTTGCCTCACCATTAAGTAGAGACTTTTTTATTTCTGTACAGTTTATTTGCATCAAAAGGTGGCATAGACTGCACTGGAAAGTTACATTCTTCAGTCAATTGCACGTACGGGCAGTCCCTTTCTACTATTTTTGACCAGTCATTGAAGATTATTGCATGCACTGGACCTCTTAATTGTCAACATTCTCTTACTTTATAACTTCACTTAGGATACAGGCAGTTTTGCACATTTGTGACATTACTTTTTTCACTAAAGGGACATTGAGATACATATAATTTGTCAGAGCAATTAATTATGTATATAACCATTCATTTGAAGGCTACATATAATCGAAACAGTATAAAATCTAAAACCAAAATGCAAACTGTGAGTTAGAAGTGTTGAAAAGAATCCAAAAGTCTTGTTCTTGCTCTTTAAAAAAAAATCACTAATAATAACACAATCTACTTCCAATCTGACTGGCAGCAACTTCCTACGAACAGAACACAAACATATAAGGTTCCATCAGTACCAACAGCACTGTGCCTAAAAAAGGCAGGAGACTTGCAGGAAAACAGTTCATAAAAGGTACTCATGGTCTTGGCTAATACAGTCAGTTATCACCTCTTTTAAAAAGTTCCATCTCATCTTCCCAGGCTGGTGACACTGTCATTCAGTCTGGTCTAAAAAGCACAGAGTAAGAATCACAGAACAGCTGAGATCAGAAGGGACCTCTGGAGACCATCTAGTCCACGCCCCTGCTCAAGCAGAGTCACCTAGAACACAAGATTATGTCCAGGTAGGCTCTGGATACCTCCAGGGAAGGAGACTCCACAACCTCTCCAGACGAACTGTTCAGGGCTCAGCCACCCTCACAGTAACAAGGTTATTCGTCAAAATCAGACAGAACTGTCCATGTTTCAGTTCATGCTCACTGCTTCTCACTCTCTTGCTGGGCATTACTGAAGACCATCTTGGCGGTCCCATCCTCTCGACACCCTCCCTTCAGATACTTATACACGTTGATGGGATCCTCTCAGTCTTCCCTTCTCCAGGCTGCGCAGACCGAACTCTCTCAGCCTTCCCTCACACAAGAGCAGCTCAAGACCCTTAACCATCTTAGTGGGCCTCCACGAATGTGCTCCAGAAGCTCCTCTAGAACGTGCTCCTTGTATTGGGGAGCCCAGCACTGGACACAGTACTCCAGGTACAGCCTCTTCAGGACTGAGTAGATGGGGAGGATCATCTCCCTCGACATACTGGCAATACTTTACCTAACGCAGCCCAGGATACCACTGGCCTTCTTTGGCACAAGGCCACGCTGGTGGCTCTTTGTCAATTTGCTCTCCACCAGGACCCCAGATTTTCCTCTGTGGAGTCTGTCTACATCTGGTTGAACCCTGGCTTGTATTGGTGCTGTTATTCCGACTTTACACTTCCCTTTACTGAACTTGGAAGAACTTTTTACATGCATAATCTAATGAAGAAGAATTTTCCCCTCTAACTATTGTTTCATATACATAACAACATTGTGTTTCACGACTTATATCTTAAGTTTAACACAGAGTTTTAAATAAAACTCAAGAAACAGTTCAAATATATTACAATAAAATGGTAATCCTGCATCTTTATGTCCCTGTAGAGCTATTATAAAATTCTGAATAGATAAATAAAACAATTACAACTCTAATGTTTCCTTTTCTTCCTTTCCATTTCTTCAAAACTCATCTGTACAATTTTTCTGTGTTTTCCACGTACCACCTAAAGACAGTAAACGAATGTGTTCCTCCCACTGCTTCACTCTCTACCCCATTTCTTTCTAAAGAGTCCTAAATTATAAATAAGTTTAAAATTGCTTCTCCAAAGAAAGGCTCTATTTTGTAAATACTTGGAACTCTGGAAGCAGAACAGAGCTACAGTCAGATCAGTAATGATTAGCTCAACAAGACGACAGCTCACATGGATGGAAGTTATTAAATCCCTCCACATAATATTAACCACTGAAATAAACAATGATTGAAACATCAATTTAAGTATTATTAAGCAGCTATTTAAGAAGATTATTGTTCAGCCTCAGCTTCCTTATTACTTGCACTATACAACAGTAATTTTAAAAATAGCAATAATCAGTGAAGATCCCCAATGTACAAAACCACGGTGCAGCAGAAGCATATAAATTTAGGTCCAACCACTATTTCCAGAGAGGCAACTCACCTGAGGCTTCTGGACCGAGGACGCAATGGAGTGGTCCTGCATCTGCTATCACTGGCAATGCTTTCAGTGGTACAGAAATGTTTAGATAAAAAATGTAGTTCATCAGGCGTTGGCTGGTATGGTAACTGGTGTAGCTTCTCTTGAGAGGAACAGGATGACTAAAAGAGCAGAGAAGAACAGAAGTTTCAAGAATTTGTTCATTGCTCATGAACAAAGCCATTTCATTTTTATCAGATAACTTTTTCTCACACTTGACTACCAATTTAAAGAAGCAAATAATTAGTCTTGACTCATAATAGAACTAAGCTAGCCTCATAAGAAAGATATTAAATTTCAAACCTCCAAAGACGACATCTGGTGTCAATAAAACACACCAACATCTAAGGAACATTTCAAAAAGGTCCTACTGCAAATTA